CCAGCTCTTGGCTGTCCAGTGGCTGAACATCCGAAGGGGTGAACCTGATAACTCCCGACAGACTTTACAGTTCACTAGTCAGTTAGCAACCAGCGTCAACTCAGTTACCTCTCCTCTGTCTGTGGTGACTGAGTGAGCCCTGATGGTGACTTCGTGCCCTGTTTTTTGTATTCAGTGTTTTCTGTAGCTGGGTAGAAAGGAGCGCCGAGCATACCCACAGCATAGGGCATCCTGCCAGGAAGGGGAGATGCTCTGTTCTCGAGTCTCTTCACAAACAGCTTTGTTTTTCATCAGTATCGGTGGCTAATCAGTGTATCAGCTACAAGGGAAGCCGTCGAGTTGTAAGGGAAAGGCAAGAGGAACTTTGCTTCTGAAATGGGACAGATGAAGCATTACACGCAGCTTGCTTCCTTCTTGAGAGTCTGCTACCAGACACTGCTGTGGGATGACTGCAGCCTTAGGGATAGTTTAGCCAGGAGGTAGCTTATGCCAGCTTTAGTCGCAGTTCACCACGTAAAAAATTCTGTTGAATTGTACCAAAGCTTTTGACATTAAATGACATAATGTTAAAACCATCTGGTGTTATAAAACAGCAAAGTCTTGCAGCGACACAGGGCTTCCAGGGTCTGGGTGGGCCTAGCTCCCCCAGCCAGGGTCTGATTAGGAAAAAGGAGAAACCTGGGAATTTCTTCAAATAATCTTAGCAGTTTTTGTAACAGGTAATTCAAAGTGATGCACAAGCAAGTTTTCAGCAACCTAATGAGAAAAGGATCACATGATTAGTAACTATTTATCGTTATTGATGAGCCAGTTGCCATGTAGCAATTTAAACTATGAATGCATGCAGATATTGCTAATTTCTTCAAAGACTGAAGTTAGGAATTTTTTTTTTTTTCCAGCCTGCTTGTTGGTAAGACTGTGCTGATGAGGATAAATTACATTCTTTCTTTTGTATTCTTACCCACTACTTCTCTGCCAGCTGACCCCAAAAGACATTTCCAGCCCTTTGCCTGGGACTGATGCAGGACCGTTGGTGTACCAAGATCGGAATCGTTCTGCTCACTCTTTCAGCATGTTGGCATGCTTGCTGCCTTCCAGCCCTTCAGCATTTTTCTGGTACTGGAACCATTATCAAGAATACTGCAAGTGAGCTAGAGACCTCCTCCTTTTCTTTCAGCATGCTCATGTGCAAGTTAATCAGGCTAATTGAAGTTGCTTATCCCTGTTAGATGTTAACATCCTCTTTAATTCCTAAGGAACAGTGAGCATGGTGCAGAGGTACCTCAAGTCAGCTCAGGTCCAGCAGAGCTTCTTAGTGCCGATTTTGCAATGCCACCCTGTATTGTACTCCCTAGTATCTGTTGCACCCGAGTTTTCTGTGAAGCAGAGCAGCCCAACTCTCTGTTGTTAAAAGCTCATCCTGGCTCCATGGCAAGTGAAAAGCAACAACTAATAATCCAACACAAATTGAAAAAAGGAGAAATTGCTTCTGAGCTCATAGCTGTTGTGCAAACAGGAATTATAAACATCAGGAACTTTCCAGGTTATGGTTTGTAACTCATCTTTGCAGTTAAATCTTGCTTTCTCCTGCCAGGAGACCAGGCATTGTACAACAGCTGAATAATCAAGCTGCTTCCTGCATGGATGTCTTGCATATGTAACTTTGTTCCGTTCTTCCAGCCACAGTCTGCTTTATACTTGTGTTGTGGAGCAACTCCTGCTTCTTTTCCCCTTTTTGTCATTAAGTTATCAGTTCACTTTTCAGTTTCTAGTCTTTCCACTTCCTTTGTTGCTGACAAAGGAGTCTCTGTGTTTCTGGATGCTGTGTAGTGCTAAATTGTGGTTCCAGACCACGTGCTCCAGTGGGGCCACCCGCTCTCACTACACTTCTCTGCACTAGCCGGAAGGAAAACATGGCATATCTGAGACAGGTGAAAGCATTTGTTCTGCTGTCATCCATAACAGCATTCTGACATGAACACATCCTCAGACCACAGCATCTCATACTCCATCTCTGGACTGCCACCAAAATACCCTCTTTGCTCTTTTTACTCAACTTAGGTCTAGATCCATTCAAAGACTGGCAAAACCTGCAAGTTTCCCTTAGCTCAAAGTTTGGGGTATTGTTGTTTCATGCAGACATTAGCACTTACTTTTAGAGTGTGTAATTGTTGTTTCCCTTTTGTTACTATCGATCACAAATCCCCTGTGCAGAGGGAAGTTTCTCCTCAGATGTATCATCGTTTTAGTCTCTCCAACTTTCTGTCCACCCTTGGAGCATATCTCCAGGACCAGGGCTCAGTCAAAATATTTTTGTATCACGTATTTTTTGTTTTCCATTTTTGATTTCTGTAGATGAATATCTGCAATAAACCTCCTAATAAGACAGTTCCAGAGAATTTTGGCGACGCTGTTCCTGAGGTACAGGTCCAACGCGCTCGAAGGAATGGCTGGAGCTGGCCTCTGCACCTTTTCCAGATTATTGCCTGGTTGCTGTACCTCTTCTTTGCAATGGTTGGCTTTGGAATCCTGGTTCCTCTCCTGCCCCACCACTGGCTGCCCGCTGGCTATATTGTATCCTTTGGTCAAGAGGAGAACATGGACTGTAATAAACTGTCAGTAGGATTTTTTTTAAATAGTTGTTAGGTAGCATAGAAATCATAGGAGAAAGCAGCCAAGCCAGAATCCTTTTCTGAACTATTACCGTAATCTTCGTCTTCTCCTGTCTATAAAAACCAGTTATTTTGAGATCCTCTCTGCCCTTCAACTTTAGGTAGGTCACTAACGTTCTGCTTGTCTCCTTCATCACTCTCTGTTAAGGTTACTATCTTTGCCTCCAAGGCTCCTCTGCTGTCTACTTCTGCCTATGTGTCTCCTTTGCTTTATATTATTCTTCTACAAGTGTGCTGCAGGGTTTGAGGGAAGTCATACTAAAAAAGCCCCTCCTGAAACATCCTTGCCACGATGGGCAGCCATACCTCCCTGTGCCAACTGAATGAGTCTTGAAAGGCAGCTTTATATGTTTGTAATTATATGGTGTGGTTGCTTGTGATAGCTGGCAGTTGATCTTCTCCCAGGGCCCTCCCCTGTCCTCTGTAGAAAAACTGTGAGTGAAAGACAAGGTGGTGTAGTGCGAACCTCAGAGGAGAGGTCTGTCGTGGGACAGTCTTGAGCAGCAGTTTAATACACATCTAACTGTCCTCTAAATGTGGGCAGTATCAGAAAATGAGGTGCTTATACTGTGAAGGCATCTTGTCTTGTGTGCTGCCCAGCAAAGCCTAACTCAGCCAAGCCTGATGTGTTCTCCACCTCCTGTCCTCAACCCACCTCCCTAGAGCTGTGTGCACCTGCTGTTCCTGCAGCTGGGAAGGAGAGGGACTAGAGATGGGGTGTACTGGGGAGCGATCCCAGTGCTCCCAGTGCCACCTTGTACTGTCACCTGTGCCCGTGGATGGAACTGCCTCAAGACCAGGCCCTGGGTCCTGGTGGACTAGATTGTCTGGGGAGTGGCAGACTGGAAGAGGGTATCCTGAGATTTTAATTTAATACTTAACAAGCTGGTGAGGGTTTACAATTTGTGAGCAAGTGTTTGCTTTTGTCATGTCTCCAGTAACATCTTCCTGGTGAAAATAAAATTGACTAAGTGGCTCAGTGCTAGTTAGTGCTTCCTTAGCAGAACCAGATAACCAAGGAATATTATAGAGAGAATCTTGGGAAAAGATCTGAAGAGGTGGGATATGCACTGACATCATTTATACATCTGATTTACGTATGTCCATGAAGCCTTTGATATGTTTGGGATGCTTTTGCTTATCATTGTCTTACTTACACCTGCATGATTTAGGCATTAATATCATTAGCTCACAGTAGTCTTACATCTATTTATCTTACCCAAATCCTTGGTATTATCATGGTTCAGACCTTGTGAATTTGTCTACCAAAATCTTCAAAACTCAATCTAAAGTCACTCTAATTCAACAGATTAATGTATCCCAAAGTTTTACTGCCAGTTAATAAAGCACTAATGTCTCTTTTGTGTCAAAGGCAAGTCCCTTCCCATTCTGCTACACCAATCATCAGAGCTCCAGGCAGCTAGACCTCTCAAAGACCTCCTTTTTTTCCTTACTACACTGCTCTATTTTCCATAGGCCTTAGTATGATCAATGATGTACACATCTGGGTGTATAACAAATAAACCGGAAGGTTAATTTTTGCACACATGCTCATTTAGTTGCAGTATATTGAGAAGCAAACTCTCAAGCACAACAGTACTCCAGGCATGCAGCGTTGCTGCTTTGTATTTGCGTATTACATATTTGTATATTCTTTCCAAATATCGACAGTTACTTCAGGTGTCTGATCAAAAGTACTGCTAAAGCATATTTGCTCTGACTTGCTACTGTGTTTAGAAGTAAGACTCCAAACAGGTAAGATTTCAAGAAATGGTGACAAATCCTGGATACTGTCTGTCTGTAAATTGTGTAGGAGCCTACTTTAAAGGCTTGATCCTCTTCCTTGGGATTCTGACTAAGGAAAAGAAAAGCAAGGTGATCGGTACTAGTTCCTTGATATGACTTTTTTTTTCTTTCTTGGAAGTTTGGTCTTGTGAAGGGGCGTGTGCACGGCCTTAACTGACTGTTCCTTTCCAAGGAGTCTGTATGGACTAAGAAATGTGGATCTATGTCAACAATCTGCATGTGGGGTCAGATTCTGGTAAGTAAAGGTAATTTTTAAAAACTCCTGTGCTAGGAAGGACATTGCTGTGAGGCACAGTAGTATATAATAAGGAGGGTTGTTCCTGTAGATTTAATTATCTTTTTCCAGAGGGTATTTATTACAGCGCAAATGTCTCCATTAACAAAGCTCAGACTAATGAGCTGCCATCAGTTATATAGCAAGTTCTAATTCTAAGCCATATATTTCCCATCTGTGTGGGCTTTGTGTATTAAAGATGAAAATATGTGCATTAAATCACTCATACAATCCTTAACTGTGTACTTCAGTGTCCAGGAGTGTGTTTTATCTACCATTTAGTTGTTCATCTTACTGCAGTCTCCATTGATCCTGCGGATGCAAATGTGCGAGAAAAAAACTATCTGGGGCCTCTGGCCACCTTCAATCGTAATCAGCATGCACATGTCATTGAAAACCATCATTGCCATGTCTGTGATGTAGATGTGTAAGTATCTTCTCTTTTCCTTCTACTACTCTGTCTTCTTCACCATTACGCTTCACCATTAGTCTTTAATGTTAGACTGTAAGATTGAAATTGAGCTCCTGAAGCTCTATAGCCTAAGTTAAACTTCATCCTGTTCAGTTAGTTGGGTAGGTGCCTGCTGTCAAACGTGTGCATGGTTCTGTATTTTATTTAATTGCTCACATGTTGTGTGGAGAGGACTGTGCTGTTCTGTGTTATCTGGATGTTGGTGTTTGACCGAACGACATGTGACGTGTGTGTGTGTGCTTGTATCTGGCTAGATGCTAATACAGTAGCAGGAAATGCTTGGAGGGCAGACATTAAGATCAAGCTTTGAAGAACTGCTAAAGGGTTTCAAATAAATCAATGATCTCCAAATTAGAAATCATGCGTGCATTGAAAGGCCAGTTTGCAGTGTTTGGGATTGTGGTCCAATGATGACCAATAAGTTTGGGTGTTGAAGTTTTCCTGATGTAGAAGATTTACCCACTATTACCATCTCTACTGCTGTATGCCCCTGTATTTGTCTCACTGGGAAGTCATGGTAATGAGCTGTTGCTGCCACGCTAACGCCACCCTTTCTTTGGCAGGAGTGCCAAGTCAAAGCACTGTGGAACTTGCAACAAGTGTGTCTGTGGCTTTGATCACCACTGCAAATGGCTCAACAACTGTGTGGGAGAGAGGAATTACTGGTAAGAAACTGGCATTGTGACAGGAGCACAATACTGCATCAATGATGTTGTCCCTTCTCTTCTCAAGATTCCTCTCCAGTCTGTACTCAGTCACACAGAACCACTTTTCTTTCAGACCCCAGCTGAATAAAATCAGTCATGGGAAAACTAGATGGAAAATGCAAGCATGATTATGACATTCAAATAACCAGGGATAAAACTCCTACACTTAGAATTTTGTAGCTGAACATCTATGAGTAAAAACAGAGAATATAGTCGTCTTATTTGGTATTAGGAAAAGCTTATGGGATGTTAATTGTGTGTCCTTAATGCTTCTGGGAGCTGGAGTGGGAATAGAACCATGACCGTGCTGTTCCCATCTCTGAAACAACCTGCATCCAGATTGCATGCTTTCCC